GAGGGTCTGGGGAAGGGGAGGAGGAATACAAGAGGTAAGGAGGGGTCTGGAGAGCCAGGGAAGTGCAAGAGGATCTGGGAGATACAGGAGGTTCCCGAAGAGGCGAAGAGGCAGACAGGAAGGGCAGAGAGAATCCAAGGGCAGAAAACAGGAAGAGGAAAGACAGAGGGCACAGGGAGAGATGAGGGTGCTGGAAGGAGGTGAGAAGGGGACAGAAAGAAGGATGTGGGGAGTGACAGAAGTGGCAAAGAGAGAAGCAAGGAGGAGAAACGGGGGTGGGGGCAGTGTGAATGCAGCTGGATGCGGCTGGAAGAAAACAGACTTGCTGTCTCCCGCTATGTTCAGGATCGCTGCCTTCAGGGGGGCCTTCCATGCTGCCAACAACCACACCACATCTCCCTGCTGATTTGTGCTCTGGGGCTCCTAGACACCTCCTTCCTACCTTCTCTCTCAGCCAACCTCCATTCCCTCCTCCCCTCTTGACTTTCACCTGATGAAGTCCCTTCCCAATGCCTTGAGAGAAGTAAAAGAGTCAGAAGAGAGCGTGGCCCAGCGTCCCACTCCACATGTGGCCCCTGCCACTCTGCTTGCCCCCCTAGTTGCTCTGAAGGAGCCGTCCATGCTCCTGTGCCCTGATCCCCTTCTCTCTCTCCTTCCCAATGACACCAGTCTTCCTCTCCTCATTGGATCAATCCAATCAGCATACAAATGTGCTTCTATTTCTCCTGTCTTGAAGAAACTCTCTCCTAGCCCCATTTCCCCTTCCAGCTCCCACCTACTTCTCCCCTTCCCTTTACAGCCAAACCCCTTGAAAGACTTGTCTCTCCCTGCTGCTTCCCATTCAGTCTTGGGCCCACTCAGGTCCAGCTCCGTCCCCGCACCCTGCCCCACGCACTACACTGAAGCTACTCTTGTCCCCAGTGATCTCCCTGTTCTGAAATCCAAGCACAAGTCTTAGTCCTCATCATGCGTGAAATATCAATAGCACAGCTCAAAACCCTTTTTCCCCCTGGGTTCCAGGACACCGCACTCTCCTCATTGTCCTCCTACCTCTCTGGCCACTCCTCCCCAGGCTTCTTTGTTGGGTCCCTCTTTTTCCCCAACCTTTATTTGTTGTGGGGCTCCTGAGCTCAGTCCTTGGACGACTTCTCTTCTCTGCCTTTCGCCACTTCCTTGGTGATGCCGGCTAGGCTAATGGCTTTTAAGACCAACTGTATGCTGATAACTCCTGTATTGGTTATCTGTTGCTGTGTAACAGATTACCTCAAAACCCAGCGGCTGAAAACCACAAACATTTATCAGTTTCTGTGGGTCAAAAATCCAGGAGCAGCTTAGCTGTGTGGTTCCGGCTGCTCATGGTCTCTGATGAAGTTGCAGTCAAGTTGTTGGCTACTGTTGTCTGAAGGCTTGACTGGAGCTGGAGGATCCATTCCAAGATGGCTCACTTACATGGCTGTTGGCAGGAGGCCTCAGTTCTTTGCCACAAGGACCTCTCCATAGGACTGCTTGAGTGTCCTCATGACATGGCAGCTGACTTCCCCCAGAGCAAGTGATCCAAGAGAAAGCAAGGCAGAAGCCAGAGTGTCATTTATGACCTAGCCATATTCTGTCAGTTCCTTGGCAATC